TAATATTGTTGATGTAAAATCTAAATGTATCTTATGCTTAGGGCCTACAATGGATACGCGTATGTTGCATTTTCTATATTATAAAGCACTCGAAAATAAATGTATTGATAAAGATAGATAAACACTTTGGAGTGTTTCGTTTATTATTTATATCATGACAACATTCAAAGAAAAAAAATACTCTTCACCAATTGAGATCTTTTTACCTTCAAGCTCCTGCTTCGTAAACACTTGACATTGTAACCACTGAAGCGTATGACTTTATGGCACTCGTTAAGCTATCTTTCTCAACATGAAAGACAATCCTTTTATAGGCTCTACAGTCGCATGTGTCTCGTCTAGTGGCCGTAGCTCAGGCACCTAACGACCTGTGCACACAATTTTGTACCAGCGCCCGGTCAAGTGGTCAGTTAGAATGTTAGTGCAGCTGTCGGACATAACCGTTTACATGTGAAGTGGCTGAGGCAGGGTTTTGTTTAGGGGGGTCTCTTTTCTCCCCCCCCCCTCTCACTTCTCTCTCCCTCTCTCTCTCTCTCTCTCTCTCTCTCTCTGCCTCTGAGAAACTTTGTATTTGATTATCTATGATTATTTGTCCTCTGATTATATATATATATATATATATATATATATATATATATATATATATATATATATATATATATATATATATATATATATATAAACGATAATTCCAGTTAAATAAATAATTATATACAGTTTAAAAGTCTTTTAATTGAGAGCAATATCATTCAATTAAGCTAATTATTATACATCAGCCTAGTCTACATGTATGAGTGTATGTAAGTGTGTGTGTGTGTGTGTGTAAGTGTGCGACTGACACCAGTAGAGCAATAGTCGTACATTTGATTGTGCTTGAGTAGTTGATTTCTTATCCATTATGTGCGATATGTTTAATGGGTTATTTTTCTATTCCTATTAAAAGTTAGGTGATATATGGCTAAAATCAATGTATATAAATTGAGTTAAAATTGAGTTTAAAAAATTGAGAGACGAAATGAAAAATGGAAACCATAAGCAATAAAAAGCGATTAATAGATAAACAGAACTGCTTGGCTTGTGAAAATTTAAAAAAAAAATAAACAGAAAAATCAGGAAGACAATAACAAGATATAGACATATAGAAACTGCTCACTACAAGCTATATACATCTGGTTTGTTGAATATTGAATTATTTCGCTGTTTACTATTACCTGACATCAACATAATAGTATAATTAAATGTACACATCATTCTATACGAATTTCATTTGAAATATCCTTTCATAATATGTTGCGAATTAAATTACTATTTCCATGATTATTAAAAGATGTGTGTTTGGATAGTAGGACGTAAAGTATCTAATACAAAAATTAACGAGATTAGATCCATGAATCGAGTATGTAGGATCTCCCTGAGTCCACCCAGCTGTAATATACAAAAATGAAAATATTTACAGTAAAACCACTCAGAACTTGACTTAGAATGATATTTATTATACAAGACGTGTGTCCTTTAGTGTTTGGGCGTTTACTATTTTACGTGTCGTGTACGCCACAGTGGTATCTTAAATCTAATTGTCGTCAGACTAGAAAACTAAACACTTAAAGCTAGGTGTCACGTCCCACTTCATCAAGCCGCGGGTAATTCTATCTTTTTGACCTGTCGCAAACTTTTTGCACTAAGTTTTGTACTACAGGTATTTCAACTGACACCACTAATAACTTTTTCTCAAACGTATCGCGCCGGTACTTGAGACAAGTTTCGTCACGGTGTCTGAACTCTCAGTATGGTGAACACGGTGAATTGAACACGGTAACAGAAGACTGCGCAAGGGAAAATTGCGCCGGCTGTAAAATGCGCCAAAAGATAAATAAGCACACAGAAAAATCCGCAAAATGAAAATGTACCCAAAGAAAAATACGCAGATAAATGCGCACATAAAAAACTCGACAAACAAATATAAGGGCGCGCTGAAAACAACAAACAAATATAAGGGCGCGCTGAAAATTACAAACAAATATAAGGGCACGCTGTAAATAACAAACAAATATAAGAGCACGCTGAAAATAACAAATATAAGGGCGCGCTGAAAACAACAAACAAATATAAGGGCGCGCTGAAAATTACAAACAAATATAAGGGCGAGCTGAAAATAACAAACAAATATAAGGACACGCTGAAAATTACAAACAAATATAACTAAAACCCACTTGTTTACGTAACAGACAAATTGTATATTTAGTCACAAGTATTGTAGCCCCGCACGATTCACCAAGAAGTCGTTTGTCAAATCATAATTAATTTATTCTATAGGTGGTTCTAGTCATTAATCTGGTAAATCCTCAAGATAACTCTGGTCCCGAGTCAAATACAAATTGTATGTTTGCTATGTCGGGTGTATACTGTATAATATTTTATATTAAAGATTATGTGTGTACTATTTAACACCAATGTCGGCTTCTAGCCACAATGATATGAGTTCAGACCTAGGTTTCGGACCTGACTATAAGACGTCCTTCTACTCAGCTTTGATGAGTACCTGACTTACGTTTGGGGAAATAAAGGCATAATAGTGCTGACCACACTATCCGTTTATTGCCGAGGTCGATGAAACATGAACTCTATTTCATCCGCCAAATGGATAGCTAGGTCTAAAGAGAGACCTTACTATATAACACCAATGTAGGATTACTTGAAACATCCATCTCATATATCTGTTCTTAATATTTAGGCTTGAAAGAGGAGTTTTAATATAAGCCTTACCCTTTACAATTTTAGCATAAGTATCATCAACAGTCCGTAGTATAAAATCCACAATACATCTTTCAATACATCTTTTTAAAAGAAACTTTAATTGTAAAGATCAAATCAATGAAGTATAATTAAAGCATAATATAATCAATCCATTATGATCACTTCCTAATAGGAGTAAACTAATACTTCTTGAATTACCATCATCACAAATGATCATTAATAATTCACAAAGCGTGACATTAACAATTCATTAAGTGTAAAATGAAATTTCGAAACCAAATAGAGATAAACATTATGAACTATCCCGAGTCATTTACAAATGTAACAGAGAATGACAGATCAACAGACTAAGATTAAATCATATGAGTTAACTAACAATTGATCTTTTAAAAATTAAACGATAACAAAATATCAATTTCAGAATGTAATGTAGATACAAAAATTGAAAATATATTTTCTTATATGATGATTTCGTATGTTTCTCAATGTTTACAATTTATAAGTTTATTTACATGTTGCATGTTTATTACATTCATTGTCTGAAGTGTACCAAGATACACGACAATATACGTTCTCATAATACTGGGTAGAGCATACAATGTTTTGTGAAGCTTCACGCATTCTTTACTGGAGCACCAAATGAGCATCAAGAAAGTGATGGGCATGGGATTAACGTTACGTTATTATCTACTAAATCGTTGTTAATTTAGTCGACTCAAATCACACCATCTCATCGTATTTTCCCTTGTGTGTACAAGACACATAGGTCTCCCGTAGAAAGCTCCCTCCACCCAAGACACATGGGGCCGCCACAGAAAGCCCTCTCACCACAAGACACATGTGGCCCCCACAGGAAAATCCCTCCACACAAGACACATGGGGCCGCCACAGAACGCTCCCTCCACCCAAGACACATGGGGCCGCCACAGAAAGCCCTCTCACCACAAGACACATGTGGCCCCCACAGGAAAATCCCTCCACACAAGACACATCGGGCCGCCACAGAACGCTCCCTCCACACAAGACACATGTGGCCCCCACAGGAAAATCCCTCCACACAAGACACATGGGGCCGCCACAGAACGCTCCCTCCACCCAAGACACATAGGGCCCCACAGATAGCTCCCTCCACCCAAGACACATAGGGCCCCACAGATAGCTCGCTCCACCAAAGACACATGGGGCCACCACAGAAAGCCCTCTCTACTTTTGTCGGTATCCGACGTTTTTCAGGGCAGTGCCCAAAGATAGTTCTGCCTTTGTCGATTACTTTTCTGTTGTATACCTGCACTTTTCACTTGGCCTTCCCTGTTTTCTTTTTCCTTGGTGTGATATCGTCTGTATTCATTCTTAAGACGTGTCCCATCCATCGCCATCTTCTTTCTTCCCGATATTTCAGAAATGCCTTTCATTTCCATCTCTCCTGTTATCTATGATGGGGGATTGCGTTGGGCCAGTGCATGCCTTTATCCTTCTAAGGCACTTAGTTTGGATGAATCAAACAAACTAGTCTGAATTCAATTTCATGAGATCAAATTAATTCAGAAGCCTACTAATGCAATGCTACTCAAACTTAAGACGGCCATTCTAGTTTTTAGGTCATTATTGCAGTGTGTTTTTTTGGGGTTTTTTTTGCAAGACGTGCTGAAAATTATTGATATTGCTCCAAGTATAATTTCGGTACACAAACATCTGGCCTCATAGCACATTTTTGATTATTTCTTATCTTCAGTCCTGGCATATTTTCAGTGGATTTTTAAAATTTATTCTTGTTTGTTCTTTTGCTTCCTCTAGGAACAATTCTACTGCTGCGAAGAACGAAAATTATTACATACAGCCACAATAAATAAACAGTGTATTAAAACGTATATTGCACGCTTAAAATAGAAATTCCCTACAACAATAAGCTAACAATAATATAATTGCCTCATCATTTATCAATTTTTTTTCCAATAGTATCACGAGGTTTTATTTTCTTAGATTTACTATTTCAAAACAAAATTCTTGAGTTAATAAAAAGGTTTTTAAAAAGAAGTTTTCTTTAAGAAATACACGTTATCTGATGTTGTAACGGGGATGATCTGATTGACTGACTCGGACATGACGTAACCATGGCCGACCATGAATCTCGTGATGCTGGACATTTCTTCTGACGTCTTGAGGTACCACTCCATCTGTACGACCTTGACATTGACCTTTGAGAAGAAGTGGTCAGCACACTTAAGGGCCTCGTGTTCCGTGTTCTCAATGTCCAGCTTCATGTACACGGTCGTGTTGGACACGAGAGGAATGAGGTCATCCAGGCAGATTGTGTTGACCAGTACCACGCCTCGTGTGTTGTCCAGTGCTTCAAACACATTGGATGTGTTCAGTCTGCTGCCACCCATGTTCTTCCTGGAAGGTAGGAGATCAAATCAATTAGCCCTGGGACTATAGTGTAGCTGGGTGCCTAAAGTAAACCTTATGGTAATAAAACAAAGTCGTCTTACGCCTTATCTATCTATCTATATATATAATTCTCTTCTTCGAGCCGTTAGAAAACAAGCTGCAAACGCCTCCTTGCAGTCCCCTCTCTTTCTCTCTATCACTATCACTACCACCCCACCACCCCCACCCCACCCCCACATTGTCTGGTGAGCTGTGGTCACGCTAAATGTTTACAAACCTAAATGTTTACAAATCGTAGAGCCGTAGAGCCGGGTTTCTATTAGGGGCAGATAATTTAGTTCGATTTTAAACTTACAGGAGGTAACTAAGAAATAACTAAGAGGAGGCTACTTTCACGGGGGGGGGGGGTGGTAGGGTCGGGGTTAGGGGAAAGGGGGGGGGGTAGTGTTTTAAAGCAAATATTTTCAGTGGCAGCGTTGGTACTGTCGAATTAACAAATTATGAATTACTGAAAAGTAGAAAAACAACAACTAAATAGCGGCGTATGATACGCAGCGGGTCGGCTCGTTGTAAATATTATGGCTATAAACCAAAGTCGACTTACGCCATAAAGTTCACCGTATTGCAATAAACCAAAGTTGACTTACGCCATAAAGTTGACCTTATGGCAATAACCAAAGATGACTTACGCCATAAAGTTGACCTTATGGCAATAAACCAAAGTTGACTTACTTCATAAAGTTGACCTGTAGAGTACGATGGTCACTGTATAAGGCGTTGTTTACTATAGTGACCAGCTGACTGAGTCCACTCAGCATCAGGGACGTCTGCAGCATGTGGACATTTTCTAGAACCATCTCAACGGCCAGGACACGATGACCTAGGGCTGCTGCCCAGAGCGTAAACTCGCCAAGGTTAGCGCCAAGGTCAACTAGCATGAGCTCAGGGCCATTCTAAAAATAGAAATCAGGCAAGATAAGTGTTTACACGAGTTGTTGTCCTTTTTATTGGACTGGAGCAACATTCCTAAAAATTTCGATCATCTACATTAAAAAAATTAATAAATTATTTATTAATCCTCACACATTACGGATAATTGTGACATACTTTTTGATATAGAAGAAAAGACAAGCGCATTTGAAGAAAGCTATTTCATTTATTTTACAAATAATTCCACTATCTTTAATTAAAACAACCAGATTTACCTCCCACACACTACCACCTTCTCTGACACACCTTCAATACACATATTCACACCTACCCCACACAACCAACACACTACCTACACACTACCACCTTCTCTGACACACCTATAGTACACACATTCACACCTATCCCACACAACCTACACACTACCACCTTCTCTGACACACCTATAGTACACACATTCACACCTATCCCACACAACTTACACACTACCACCTTCTCTGACACACCTTCAGTACACACGTTCACACCTATCCCACACAACCTACACACTACCTACACACTACCACCTTCTCTGACACACCTTCAGTACACACATTCACACCTATCCCACACAACCCACACACTACCTACACACTACCACCTTCTCTGACACACCTTCAGTACACACATTCACACCTATCCCACACAACCCACACACTACCTACACACTACCACCTTCTCTGACACACCTATAGTACACACATTCACACCTATCCCACACAACCCACACACTACCTACACACTACCACCTTCTCTGACACACCTTCAGTACACACATTCACACCTATCCCACACAACCTACACACTACCTACACACTACCACCTTCTCTGAAACATAATTAGTACACACATTCACACCTATTCCACACAACCTACACACTACCACCTTCTCTGACACACCTTAAGTACACACATTCACACCTATCCCACACAACCTACACACTACCACCTTCTCTGACACACCTTTAGTACACACATTCACACCTATCCCACACAACCTACACACTACCACCTTCTCTGGCACACCTTCAGTACACACATTCACACCTATCCCACACAACCTACACACTACCACCTTCTCTGACACACCTTTAGTACACACATTCACACCTATCCCACACAACCCACACACTACCTACACACTACCACCTTCTCTGACACACCTATAGTACACACATTCACACCTATCCCACACAACCCACACACTACCTACACACTACCACCTTCTCTGACACACCTTCAGTACACACATTCACACCTATCCCACACAACCTACACACTACCTACACACTACCACCTTCTCTGAAACATAATTAGTACACACATTCACACCTATTCCACACAACCTACACACTACCACCTTCTCTGACACACCTTAAGTACACACATTCACACCTATCCCACACAACCTACACACTACCACCTTCTCTGACACACCTTTAGTACACACATTCACACCTATCCCACACAACCTACACACTACCACCTTCTCTGGCACACCTTCAGTACACACATTCACACCTATCCCACACAACCTACACACTACCACCTTCTCTGACACACCTTTAGTACACACATTCACACCTATCCCACACAACCTACACACTACCACCTTCTCTGACACACCTTCAGTACACACATTCACACCTATCCCACACAACCTACACACTACCACCTTCTTTGACACACCTTCAGTACACACATTCACACCTATCCCACACAACCCACACACTACCAACACACTACCACCTTCTCTGACACACCTATAGTACACACATTCACACCTATCCCACACAACCCACACACTACCTACACACTACCACCTTCTCTGACACACCTATAGTACACACATTCACACCTATCCCACACAACTTACACACTACCTACACACTACCACCTTCTCTGACACACCTTCAGTACACACATTCACACCTATCCCACACAACCCACACACAATCTACACACTACCACCTTCTCTGACACACCTTCAGTACACACATTCACACCTATCCTACACAACCTACACACTACCACCTTCTCTGACACACCTATAGTACACACATTCACACCTATCCCACACAACTTACACACTACCACCTTCTCTGACACACCTTCAGTACACACATTCACACCTATCCCACACAACCCACACACTACCTACACACTACCACCTTCTCTGACACACCTTTAGTACACACATTCACACCTCTCCCACACAACCTACACACTACCACCTTCTCTGACACACCTTTAGTACACACATTCACACCTCTCCCACACAACCCACACACTACCACTCCCACATCTGCCTCTCCAATCAACCACAACTTTTTCATTTATATGCAAATTTGTAAAGGGCAACGCAAGATCCCATGACAAGATTTGTATGTGATTGTATATCTCTGTATGAGCGAATCTTCCACGTCACAAAACACAAACTACGCTCTGTTGCCCGTTGGCTAACTACCCTGGAGCTAAGCATTGGTTACATTTAGAGCTAGGGGCTGTTGGTCACACATCAATGACAACATTTTATAAATACAATCCAATGTTTGACAAATTTCTTGTTATAAAACAAACATCTAATTAATTTTAGCCTTAATTAGATGCTGGAACTTAAGATTTGCATACGTTTTGTTCTGTTTCGGATAAGGGTTTGGACAAGTTCAGCTCTAACAAGTACCTTCAAGGCTTGATCCATCGACAGTACTAGCATTTCTTCCCAAAGTTCATTCTTCTGTGAATGGGATAATACACAAATGCAATGCACAATGTTTTACACACACACACACACACACACACATATATATATATATATATATATATATATATATATATATATATATATATATATATATATATATATATATATATGTATATATATATAAATATATAATTATATATAATTATATATAATTATATATAATTATATATGTGTATATATATATATATATATATATATATATATATACATATATATATATATATCCCAAACCTAAGTCATGTTCTGGTGTAACAACATAACGTGTGTTCAAGTTGAAAAGAAAATTGTATCGCACACTGAAGTTTATTGTGACATTTTATGAGCAGGGCTAAAGCTGTTATTAACCCTAGCGTGACGCCTGTGGGATCCATACCGCAGCCGGCCCATGAATTGATACCATTGGAGTAAACTGTTTTGATTCGCTCAAGGTCATTTGACCGTACGTAATCAACGAAGCGTGGAGGGAGAGTTCAGGGTACTGTGTAGGTTGTTTGGGAATCAGTGTAAAGGGGTTCTCCTTTCAAATGGTCACACTACTGTTTAGGCTGTTTGAAATGAGTGCAGAGTTTCTTCCAGGCATCTCTTCGGGGGGGCGAAGCCCCCCCGAAAAATTTTTACCGCCCCCCCGAACGAAATGAAATTTATATAATTTATATAGAAAATATATACTTTTAACAGTGTCCGCCCCCCCGAAGAAAGTTTACCGCCCCCCCGAAGATTTCAAGTGCCCCCCCGGAGAAAAAAGTCTGGAAGAAACACTGAATGAGTGTAAAGGGGTTCTCCTTTCAAATGGTCACACTACTGTGTAGGCTGTTTGAAATGAGTGTAAAGGGGTTCTCCTTTCAAATGGTCACACTACTGTGTAGGCTGTTTGAAATGAGTGTAAAGGGGTTCTCCTTTCAAATGGTCACACTACTGTGTTGGCTGTTTGAAATGAGTGTAAAGGGGTTCTCCTTTCAAATGGTCACACTACTGTGTAGGCTGTTTGAAATGAGTGTAAAGGGGTTCTCCTTACAAAAATTCACATTAATTAAAGATCCGCGTAGGTGGCGGTATTCACACTACAGTTAGGCTACCACGGGTCCCAAGTACTAGAGGTGTGTTATTTAATGGATACAATGGTCGCTTTGAAAAAAATTTTAACGACAAAATTATTGCCTAATTTATTGTAATACCTTTTTGAAATATGAATTTATTTTATAACAACACTCAAAATATTGATCTTATATATACCAGTATTCAAATGTTGAACATGTTTACAAGCGTATTAAGCATGAATGTGACAATTAAGTATGTGTTGTAGAATAGTGCTACAGCTGATTCAACTGCACCTCTTATAGGGCTACAACTCGTAAAACTTTAGACTATGTATGGGAGACACAGTATGATTTCTAATAGTAAATCTTCTAAGTATGGGACATATAATATGATTTCTAGTAGTAAATCTTCTGACTAAGTATGGGACATATAGTATAATTTCTAATAGTTTTACAAGGATAAAGATAAATTTGCTAGAGGAGTTACAATAGAAAACATTTTTTTTAAATACCAATAAAAAATAATATTATGAATTATTTCTTTTGAAAGAATAAAATAAATAAATCTTACTTTCAGCTTCCCCGATACCCAAGTATCGTTGGATTCTTTGTAAATACAAATTTTGACGTCTGCCTTTGGTGACTTTGGCAGGGGCACACAATCCTCTTTAGGTAAAACAAAATCATGGGGAGGTAATGACGGTACGATGTTGACGTCTTTGTGCAGAAACAAAGACGTATGATGTTGGTTTCTTAACGGTGCCGCAGTTTGCCGTGTTTTGACGTGTGAGTGCACGAGCCACCCGTCTGGAACTTGGGACTCTGATGTGGGTGTGTGGTGCACGACCCCCCGGGTGAAGGCGATGTAGAGAAGAATAAAACACACAGCTGACACCAGCAGGACTTTCAGATTGCCTCGACGTCCCTTCATCCTTGGGAGCTGGAACATGAACAGTGGCAGACACATGAACACAATGGCTGAAGGGTTGGTTTGATGGTATTGTGTACAAGATGAACAATGACAGACACATGAACACATTGGTTGAAGGGTTGTTGTGATGGTACTGGGTACAACAAGAACAATGACAGACAGGCGAACACATTGGTTGAAGGGATGGTGTGATGGTATTGTGTACAAGATGAACAATGACAGACACATGAACACATTGGTTGAAGGGTTGTTGTGATGGTACTGGGTACAACAAGAACAATGACAGACAGGCGAACACATTGGTTGAAGGGATGGTGTGATGGTATTGTGTACAAGATGAACAATGACAGACGCATGTACACATTGGTTGAAGGGTTGGTGTGATGGTATTGTGTACAAGATGAACAATGACAGACGCATGTACACATTGGTGAAGGGTTGGTGTGATGGTATTGTGTACAAGATGAACAATGACAGACGCATGTACACATTGGTTGAAGGGTTGGTGTGATGGTACTGGGTACAACATGAACAATGACAGACACATGAACACATTGGTTGAAGGGTTGGTGTGATGGTATTGTGTACAAGATGAACAATGACAGACACTTGTACACATTGGTTGAAGGGTTGGTGTGATGGTATTGTGTACAAGATGAACAGTGACAGACACTTGTACACATTGGTTGAAGGGTTGGTGTGATGGTATTGTGTACAAGATGAACAGTGACAGACACATTTGTTAAGAGGTTGGTGTGATGGTACTGTGTACAACATGAACAATGACAGACACATCAACAAACACATCAACAAACACATCAGCAAACACATCAATACCGTAAAAAATATCCTGAACCAAACGATTTAAGACAAAATATCTCAGAGAAAAAGTACAAAAGTCAAAACATTTCAGAGAGAAAGCACACAAGTCAAAATATCTCAGAGAAAATATCTCAAAACTGAATATACTGAAGACAAAGTATGTAAATGCTACATCTCAAATACAAGTTAACTCATGACATACAGACCTATGTAAATAGATACAGCACCTAGTAAAGACAGAAAATAATGTCAAGCTTGACATAAGCTTAACTCAACGCGACATTCTATAAAGCTCAACACGACATTTGACCAAAGAATACGTAATTGTGTTGAATCGTTCTTGAGTTAATGACAATTTACTGCTTCTAGTGTTGCCCATTGTATGAACGTTGGCCTGATTCAAAGTTCCCTACCTTTCATTGAATAGTTGTCCAGCTACATATAAATAATTTTAACTTTTATTGAACACTCGATTCACTTGCAAGAAACAAAGCTGTCGCAACTTCCCTTAAAATCTATCGTCTGGAAATTTACCAGTAATTTTAAATTACCACATTATTAAGTGATCACTGTAGATCAATATCGAATTCTAACAAGAATGTACGTTAGAATAAAAAATAAAACAACGAATCTACTATGTAAGTATAGTTGGTATCTCTAACCTAAGATAAGCCTCACGTTATAGCTAGTAGCAATAACCTTAACGAACCTCCAACTAAAGCTAGTAGCAATATCCTCAACGAACCTCCAGCTAAAGCTAGTAACTCTACCTTTCGCTTTGGCCGTGGATCTCACGCACATTCAACACGTCTAGAAAACATTCTTCACACATCGTTGATTTTTGCGCCAGGGCATTTTCTTGTAATGCCATGGGCGTAGCTACACTACTGTAGCCAGACATACAGTCTAGCTAAAAGATATATATCTGTACATCTATGATACACTCCAGCTAAAAGATAAGTATATATATATATATATATATATATATATATATATATATATATATATATATATATATATATATATATATATATATATATATATATATATATATATATATATACGTATGTTAATCCAGCTAAAAGATAAGTATATGCACATCTATGTAAAATAAGTTTGAGTTCTATTGTCTAGCTGAAATACACGTATCTATCCAGTTATTGAACACAAGAAGATCCAATCCCACAGCTCTGATGAATGACTCTACACCTATGGTACATTAGAGTCACACAGCCCTAATGAATGACTCTACAGCTATGGTACATTAGAGTCACACAGCCCTAATGAATGACTCTACAGCTATGGTACATTAGAGTCACACAGCCCTAATGAATGACTCTACAGCTATGGTACATTAGAGTCACACAGCCCTAATGAATGACTCTACAGCTATGGTACATTAGAGCCACACAGCCCTAATGAATGACTCTACAGCTATGGTACATTAGAGTCACACAGCCCTAATGGATGACTCTACAGCTATCAAACATAAAAATCTACTTCCCTGTTACACTCCAGTGACTAAATTATTCCAAAAGAAATCAACTACTGGTGTGGAGTGGTTCACGGTAAAGATCATGATTGGATATTACCAATGCTGATTGGTTATTGATCGGATAGAAGGGATACATAGTGGAAAATTAACAAGTTGACTTTAAATGTACACTGTAATGCTTTGGTGAACTTTGTCGAGCTGTAATACTTTGGCGAATATTGGCGAGCTGGAAAATTTTGGAGAATTTTGAAGAGGTAGGTCATGGTGGCGAACATTGGTCAATGTACATACAAGGTGGCAAAAATGTTTTCCATGCATTATTGTAGAATTTTAAAATGTAAACACGAGCAATCCACACAAACTTTAGCGCTCCACCAATACACTAAAACTCCACCAATACACTAACACTCCACCAACAAACTAATGCGCCACCAATACACTAACACTCCACCAATACACTAACACTCCACCAATACACTAACACTCCACCAATACATTCCACCAATACACTAACACTCCACCAATACACTAAAACTCCACCAATACACTAACACTCCACCAACAAACTAATGCGCCACCAATACACTAACACTCCACCAATACACTAACACTCCACCAATACACTAACACTCCACCAATACACTAACACTCCACCAATACACTAACACTCCACCAATACACTAACACTCCACCAATACACTAACACTCCACCAATACACTAACACTCCACCAATACACTAACACTCCACCAATACACTAACACTCCACCAATACATTAACACTCCACCAATACACTAACACTCCACCAATACACTAACACTCCACCAATACCCTAACACTCCACCAATACACTAACACTCCACCAATACACTAACACTCCACCAATACACTAACACTCCACCAATACACTAACACTCCACCAATACACTAACACTCCACCAATACACTAACACTCCACCAATACACTAACACTCCACCAATACACTAACACTCCACCAATACACTAACACTCCACCAATACACTAACACTCCACCAATACACTAACACTCCACCAATACACTAACACTCCACCAATACACTCCACCAATACACTAACACTCCACCAATACACTAACACTCCACCAATACACTAACACTCCACCAATACACTAACACTCCACCAATACACTAACACTCCACCAATACACTAACACTCCACCAATACATTAACACTCCACCAATACACTAACACTCCACCAATACACTAACACTCCACCAATACCCTAACACTCCACCAATACACTAACACTCCACCAATACACTAACACTCCACCAATACACTAACACTCCACCAATACACTAACACTCCACCAATACACTAACACTCCACCAATACACTAACACTCCACCAATACACTAACACTCCACCAATACACTAACACTCCACCAATACACTAACACTCCACCAATACACTAACACTCCACCAATACACTAACACTCCACCAATACACTAACACTCCACCAATACACTCCACCAATACACTAACACTCCACCAATACACTAACACTCCACCAATACACTCCACCAATACACTAACACTCCACCAATACATTAACACTCCACCAATACACTAACACTCCACCATTACAGTAACACTCCACTCAAACACTAACACTCCACCAATACACTAACACTCCACCAATACACTAACACTCCACCATTACACTAACACTCCACCAATACACTAACACTCCAACAATATACTAACACTCCACCAATACACTAACACTCCACCAATACATTAACACTCCACCAATACACTAACACTCCACCAATACACTAACACTCCACCAATACACTCCACCAATACACTAACACTCCACCAATACACTAATACTCCACCAATACAATAACACTCCACCAATACACTAACACTCCACCAATACACTAACACTCCACCAATACATTCCACCGAAACACTAACACTCCACCAATACACTAACACTTCACCAATACACTAACACTCCACCAATACACTAACACTTCACCAATACACTAACACTCCACCAATACACTATACACTAACACTCCACCAATACACTAACACTCCACCAATACACTAACACTCCACCAATATAGTAACACTCCACCAATACACTCCACCGAAACACTAACACTCCACCAATACACTAACACTCCACCAATACACTAACACTTCACCAATACACTAACACTCCACCATTACACTAACACTCCACCAATACACTAACACTTCACCAATACACTAACACTCCACCAATACACTATACACTAACACTCCACCAATACACTAACACTCCACCAATACACTAACACTCCACCAATACACTAACACTCCACCAATACACTAACACTCCACCAATACACTAACACTCCACCAATACACTATACACTAACACTCCACCAATACACTAACACTCCACCAATACACTATACACTAACACTCCACCAATACACTAACACTCCACCAATACACTAACACTCCACCAATACACTAACACTCCACCAATACACTAACACTCCACCAATACACTATACACTAACACTCCACCAATACACTAATACTCCACCAATACACTAACACTCCACCAATACACTCCACCAATACACTAACACTCCACCAATACACTAACACTCCACCAATACACTAACACTCTACCAATACTCTAACACTCCACCAATACACTAACACTCCACCAATACACTAACACTCCACCAATACCAATCCTCTCCCGCCATGAATATTTCGACCAGAAAATCAATGATAAGTTAACAAGTGATCAATGGAGCAGTTCGAATTTCTAATTAGTTTCTATAATCAAGTCAGTACACTGAAGATAAAATCAAAAATGTCTCTAGTTAATGTCAACAGTTTAGGCTAGCTACTAATTTCAGTAACACGTCACTTTGTAGAGAGGAAAAATTATTTTCAAATTATATCCACAGAAAATGTGTTGAAACGTCCGCGAAAATCGTCTACAAAAAAAATAAAATCTATGGCTCCATAGTGTCATTGACCATTGGATGTTTACGCTTAGAAATCCAAACACAACGCATAGGCGTTAAGATGAGAAGACGCAGATGTTACACATGTATCAGACCAATTCTCTTAACAGCTGATGGAATGAAGGGAAAGGGCTTGCCTGTAGAACTAAAAGATATCAGTGTCGCTGGAACTGACCAAAGGAAACCACACGAAGAAAAAAAACCACAAGTAACCCTAGACAAATTAATTATATTTTTCTGGGTGTAATTTTTACATGATATTCTACAACAACATTTGTTTCCCGTTCATATGTAGTTCCATAGGACCCACATCTTCGTGTAAATAAAGCGGTAGTGCTCTCCCTTGGCTTTTCGAAACCTTACGTCGCTAAAAATAACGTAAACCAAACGTCACTAAAACTAACGTCAACCTAACGTCGCTAAAACTAACGTCAACCTAACGTCGCTAAAACTAACGTCAACCTAACGTCGCTAAAACTAACGTCAACCTTACGTCGCTAAAAAATAACGTAAACCAAACGTCACTAAAACTAACGTCAACGTAACGTCGCTAAAAATAACGTCAACCGATTCAAACCACGTCACAAAAGCTAACGTCAACCGATTCAAATAACGTCACAAAAACTAACGTCAACCAATTCAAATAACGTCGATAAAACTAACATGAACGATTCAAACAACGTCACAAAAGCTAACGTCAACCGATTCAAATAACGGCACAAAAACTAACGTCAACCGCTCGCAGAAACCTTTCACTAATTTCAACCTAGCTAACCGCATACACTGAACTATGTCTTGATCGTTACGCTAAACTTAAGCTAACCCGCATAAACGAAATCGGTCGGACACTTTTAATCTCACCTGTATTTCTCACGATCCGAGGAAAATTGTATAGTCCCTTGGAAATTGTGAATCTTTCTTTCAATTTTACCACTGATTGTGTCAACATAGTACTCTTGACAGCGATTGAAACAAAACCTATTAGCCCAGGCTAACTTCAGAAAGGCTTGGTTGTATGAGTAAATCAATGTGTATTCATGTAGTTTTCATACCGCTGTATCGACTTAACGGTCCATAACAGATTTACTTTGAACTGACGGTAATGGGAGGTCAAGTCAAATTGTACAGTATTCTGCACATTTCGCTAAAGTCACAGATGTCGTTATATCATAGGCCTGGTCTAGGGATTAAAACTTGTTTTATGGTCTTGTTACATCATAGGTCTGTATCACTGGTTAAAACATGTTTTATGGTGTGGTTATATCATAGGTCTGTATCACTGGTTAAAACATGTTTTATGGTGTGATTATATCATAGGTCTGTATCACTGGTTAAAACATGTTTTATGGTCTTGTTACATCATAGGTCTGTATCACTGGTCTATAGGTTAAAACATGTTTTATGGTCTTGTTATATCATAGGTCTGTATCACTGGTTAAAACATGTTTTATGGTGGGGTTATATCATAGGTCTGTATCACTGGTTAAAACATGTTTTATGGTGTGATTATATCATAGGTCTGTATCACTGGTCTATAGGTTAAAACATGTTTTATGGTGTGGTTATATCATAGGTCTGTATCACTGGTTAAAACATGTTTTATGGTGTGGTTATATCATAGGTCTGTATCACTGGTTAAAACATGTTTTATGGTCTTGTTATATCATAGGTCTGTATCACTGGTTAAAACTTGTTTTATGGTGTGATTATATCATAGGTCTGTATCACTGGTCTATAGGTTAAAACATGTTTTATGGTGTGGTTATATCATAGGTCTGTATCACTGGTTAAAACATGTTTTATGGTGTGGTTATATCATAGGTCTGTATCACTGGTTAAAACATGTTTTATGGTCTTGTTACATCATAGGTCTGTATCACTGGTTAAAACATGTTTTATGGTGTGGTTATATCATAGGTCTGTATCACTGGTCTATAGGTCAAAACATGTTTTATGGTGTGGTTATATCATAGGTCTGTATCACTGGTCTATAGGTTAAAACATGTTTTATGGTCTTGTTATATCATAGGTCTGTATCACTGGTCTATAGGTTAAAACATGTTTTATGGTCTTGTTATATCATAGGTCTGTATCACTGGTCTATAGGTTAAAACATGTTTTATGGTCTTGTTATATCATAGGTCTGTATCAATGGTTAAAACATGTTTTATGGTGGGGTTATATCATAGGTCTGTATCACTGGTCTATAGGTTAAAACATGTTTTATGGTCTTGTTATATCATAGGTCTGTATCACTGGTCTATTGGTTAAAACATGTTTTATGGTGTGGTTATATCATAGGTCTGTATTAATTGGCTAGAAACTAAAACAGGTTAATAGCTATAGCAGTAGAGTTTCTTTCATTGCGTCAACCTAGGAAAAAACACTTTTTGTGTGCATTGGCATCTATTAACCTATCTATTTCTTGTAGCTTACACTATCTGATATATGTTACTTTATTAATTATGACAGATCTAATACGTGCACTGTTTCATATCTCTAATCTCTAATACACTAATTCAACTGTTTCAAACGTTTATTTAACGGAACATTGTTTACACTGCTATTGTTAGCCTTTTATTACTATATCCCCCCCCCCCCCCCGACAAACATGACACCCGTGCGACATTGACCACTCTTCTCACCAAAATAAATGCGACGCCACTGCTAGTAAGATCAACTACTACAGTACTAAATTAAAACGTGGGCAAATAAACGGGGTTTCAAATCGTAAATACAAAATAAATAAAAATTCTAAAATCCTAGAACGGCAATGTTGTTGTTTTCAACAAACGATTACTACTGATTTTCTCATGAATTCATTATTTTAGCACAGTATATACTTAGACAAACCTCGAATTTAACATAAATATTTGTGAAACAGGTAAAATGAAACTAGTAACACAAGGCAATTTGAGGATGATTTGTATAGTTGTGTGCTAAGCACTTTAATGAGTAATGATATTCTTGATGATCACATAGATCGGGGCTAACGCTAGGTTCATTGAACTAACCATCACGATACTTATGATGAACACATCACTGCTAAGGTAAAGTTCCGTCCCTTGAACTAAACATCACGATACTTATGATGAACACATCACTGCTGGGCTAAGTTCCGTCCCTTGAACTAAACATCACGATACTTATGATGAACACATCACTGCTGGGCTAAACATCCCGCGCAGGTTTTCGCACGAAAAACACATCGGTCTCGATGTCAACAGGCTTGATGAGACGAGTAGCAGACTCAGACATGTGGAAGCCGAGGTGGGACATGAAGCTGGTGATGTTGTCCATCTCAGCCTGCGATCTCAGGAACCACTCCATCTGCACAACCTCGACATTCACCTTGGAGAAGAACTGACTAGCGCACTTGAGGGCTTCGTGCTCCGTGTTCTCGATGTCGATCTTCAGGTAGACGGGTCTGTCTGTGATCAGGGGAACTAGGTCATCCATGCAGATCGTCTTCGTCAGCACCACGCCGTGTGTAAGGTCAAGGTCTTCAAAGACTTTGGAGGTGTTAAGTCTGCTGCCTCCCATGTTGTTTCTGTAGGATGGTAGATGTGGTTGGTGGATGAGTGTGGTTGGTGGATAAGTGTGGTTGGTGGATTAGTGTGGTTGGTGGATGTGTGTGGTTGGTGGATGGTTGTGGTTGGTGGATGTGTATGGTTGGTGGATGGTTGTGGTTGGTGGATGTGTGTGGTTGGTGGATGGTTGTGGTTGGTGGTTGGTTGTGGTTGGTGGATGGTTGTGGTTGGTGGATGGTTGTGGTTGGTGGATGGCTGTGGTTGGTGGATGGTTGTGGTTGGTGGATGGTTGTGGTTGATGGATGAGTGTGGTTGGTGGATGTGTGTGGTTGATGGATGAGTGTGGTTGGTGGTTGGTTGTGGTTGGTGGATGGTTGTGGTTGGTGGATGGTTGTGGTTGGTGGATGGTTGTGGTTGATGGATGAGTGTGGTTGGTGGATGTGTGTGGTTGATGGATGAGTGTGGTTGATGGATGAGTGTGGTTGGTGGATAAATGTGGTTGGTGTATGGTTGTGGTTGGTGGATGGTTGTGAGGTGTGTTGAAGAGAAAATTAGGTGGACGAATCAGATTAAAGTCGTCAGGTAAAATCATGTAATAAAATTGTGATCACCATTCAGTCACAATAGAGTCCAACATCCAGTCCAACATCCATTACAATATCCAGTCCAACATCCATTACAACATCCAGTCCACCATCCAGTCCAACATCCATTACAACATCCAGTCCAACATCCATTACACCATCCAGTCCAACATCCATTACACCATCCAGTCCAACATCCATTACACCATCCAGTCCAACATCCATTACAACATCCAGTCCAACATCCAGTCCAACATGCATTACACCATCCAGTCCAACATCCATTACACCATCCAGTCCAACATCCATTACAACATCCAGTCCAACATCCAGTCCAACATCCATTACACCATCCAGTCCAACATCCATTACACCATCCAGTCCAACATCCATTACACCATCCAGTCCAACATCCATTACAACATCCAGTCCAACATCCATTACACCATCCAGTCCAACATCCATTACACCATCCAGTCCAACATCCAGTCCAACATCCAGTCCAACATCCAGTCCAACATCCTGTCCAACATCCATTACAACATCCAGTCCAACATCCATTACACCATCCAGTCCAACATCCATTACACCATCCAGTCCAACATCCATTACACCATCCAGTCCAACATCCATTACAACATCCAGTCCACCATCCAGTCCAACATCCATTACAACATCCAGTCCAACATCCAGTCCAACATGCATTACACCATCCAGTCCAACATCCATTACACCATCCAGTCCAACATCCATTACAACATCCAGTCCAACATCCAGTCCAACATCCATTACACCATCCAGTCCAACATCCATTACACCATCCAGTCCAACATCCATTACACCATCCAGTCCAACATCCATTACAACATCCAGTCCAACATCCATTACACCATCCAGTCCAACATCCAGTCCAACATCCATTACAACATCCAGTCCAACATCCATTACACCATCCAGTCCACCATCCATTACACCATCCAGTCCAACATCCATTACAACATCCAGTCCAACATCCATTACACCATCCAGTCCAACATCCATTACACCATCCAGTCCAACATCCATTACAACATCCAGTCCAACATCCATTACACCATCCAGTCCAACATCCAGTCCAACATCCATTACACCATCCAGTCCAACATCCAGTCCAACATCCAGTCCAACATCCAGTCCAACATCCTGTCCAACATCCAGTCCACCAAGTCGATGCAACAACAGAGCTTAATATATATATATATATATATATATATATATATATATATATATATATATATATATATATATATATATATATATATATATAAATTGCTTGGATGAAATCACTGTTGACTTACTTCATAAAGTTGACCTTATGGCAATAAACCAAAGTTGACTTACGCCATATTATAAATATTATGGCAATAAATTAAAGACGACTTACGTCATAAAGTTGACCTTATGGCAATAAACCAAAGTTGACTTACGCCATAAAGTTGACCGTATTGCAATAAACCAAAGTTGACTTACGCCATAAAGTTGACCTTATGGCAATAAACCAAAGTCAACTTACTTCATAAAGTTGACCTGTAGAGTACGATGGTCACTGTACAAGGCGTTGTTTACTATAGTGACCAGCTGACTGAGTCCACTCAGCATCAGGGACGTCTGCAGCATGCGGACATTTTCTAGAACCATCTCAACGGCCAGGGCACGATGACCCAGGGCTGCAGCCCACAGTGTGTACTCGCCAAGGTTAGCGCCAAGGTCAACCAGCATTAGGTCAGGATTGCTCTGCAAATAGATTTTTTTTTTAATTCTAAACCGGGCGATTCTATATTTTATAAAATATATCGAATTTTTATGAAACGAATCGACATTTTTTCTAACTTTATTATTGAAGCCAGTGGCGTAGGCAGGGGTTAGGGGGGGGGGTCATAACCCCCCCCCCCCATATACCCCTCGGTATATATATAAAAGTATGAGGGGGGGTGCAAATCGAAAGTTTGAGTGAGGGGGTGCAAATCGAAAGTTTGTCCCCGGGTAAAAATTGGAACCCCCCCCCCTTGAGACGATCCTGACTACGCCACTGATTGAAGCTTTTTCAATATTGATAAATACTTAATTTGTTTTAATACTATGATTAAAGCGTTACATCGATGAAAATCGAATATACGTCGCTTTTAAATACGCATTTAAAAGTGTTTTCTCAAAATTTTAATTGGGTTAATGTTTCTTGATCAAGTTACTAAATATACGCTTTGGTCCAAATAATTCAAAATTTCAAAATATAAATGTTAAAAAATTAAAGAAAAGGAAAATTACTTTGAAATGTTCCACAAAATCAAGTATTGGGCCTTTTCTACAATTTTCCCATTCAAATATGTCTAAGGTTAAAGCTGTTTTGGTACTTTATTGTTTAAGAATTCAGTAAATCGATGCTTATTTTCAATATGGCCGATTTCTCTTGTGTTTTACAAAAGGATTTTTTTTCTTAATTTAAAACAAATTATCGCGTGAATAAAGTGTTTTTATATTGTGAACCATATTTTTTTATGTAGCAGTTTTCTTTTTACACCGTCAATGTGTTTCTATTAGGTCACGGTGTTTCTATTAGGTCACGGTGTTTCTATTAGGTCACGGTGTTTCTATTAGGTCACGGTGTTTCTATTAGGTCACGGTGTTTCTATTGGGTCACGGTGTTTCTATTAGGTCACGGTGTTTCTATTGGGTCACGGTGTTTCTATTAGGTCACGGTGTTTCTATTGGGTCACGGTGTTTCTATTAGGTCACGGTGTTTCTATTGGGTCACGGTGTTTCTATTAGGTCACGGTGTTTCTATTAGGTCACGGTGTTTCTATTGGGTCACGGTGTTTCTATTAGGTCACGGTGTTTCTATTGGGTCACGACGTCCCTGTATTAATCCTGTATTAGCTGGCACGAAACCGAGGGTTGTGTTATAGACTGGCAAGCTGGGCACCACCAATGTTGACTATATGCAACGTTTGTCATGTGGCTCGGCTGCTAGATAGTTGTATGTTTTTTCTAAAACCACTCGATGCTAAAGAAAGATATTTTAAACGATTGCTTTTACTTGTGTAGTTCAAGTGATAAAGTAAAAACTGAACCCCTGACCTTCAATGCTTGATCCATCTCCAACACTAAAGTCTCCTCCCAAAGTTTTTCTACCTGAAATTGTGTAGCCTTTTATATTACCTTAAAACAAAACTATTTACATATAGATATATCACATGAGACTACATGACACCCACACGAAAGTTACTAAAGATTTTCTGTAATCCGGACAAATCTTACTTTGAGATTTCCTCAGACAAATCTTACATTGAGATTCCCTCAGACAAATCTTACTTTGAGATTCCCTCAGACAAATCTTACTTTGAGATTCCCTCAGAAAATCTTACTTTGAGATTCCCTCAGACAAATCTTACTTTGAGATTCCCTCGGACAAATCTTACTTTAAGATTCCCTGAGACCCAGAAAAATCTTACTTTGAGATTCCCTGACACCCAGACAAATCTTACTTTGAGATTCCCTGACACCCAGACAAATCTTACTTTGAGATTCCTTGACACCCAGACAAATCTTACTTTGAGATTCCCTGACACCCAGACAAATCTTACTTTGAGATTCCCTGACACCCAGACAAATCTTACTTTGAGATTCCCTCAGACAAATCTTACCTTGAGATTCCCTGACACCCAGACAAATCTTACTTTGAGATTCCCTGACACCCAGACAAATCTTACTTTGAGATTCCCTGACGCCCAGACAAATCTTACTTTGAGATTCCCTGACACCCAGACAAATCTTACTTTGAGATTCCCTGACACCCAGACAAATCTTACTTTGAGATTCCTTGACACCCAGACAAATCTTACTTTGAGATTCCCTGACACCCAGACAAATCTTACTTTGAGATTCCCTGACACCCAGACAAATCTTACTTTGAGATTCCCTGACACCCAGACAAATCTCACTTTGAGATTCCCTCAGACAAATCTTACTTTGAGATTCCCTCAGACAAATCTTACTTTGAGATTCCCTGACACCCAGACAAATCTTACTTTGGGATTCCATGACACCCAGACAAATCTTACTTTGAGATTCCCTGACACCCAGACAAATCTTACTTTGAGATTCCCTGACACACAGACAAATGATACTTTGAGATTCCCTGACACCCAGACAAATCTTACTTTGAGATTCCCTGACACCCAGACGTCGTCCTTGATCTTGTAGATACAAATGGTCACGTTTTTCCTCGGTTGATGAGGCAGGACGACGCAATCTCGAAGAGGCAGCTTGAAGTCAGGCGGGGGCAGCGACGGTACAAGTGCCACGTCGGGGTGCAACCCTAGGGGGCGGGGCAACTTCCTCAAGGCTTTGGCATACATATTTTTTCTCTCCTTCGGGGATGGTGTCTGGAACTTCATCGGCGGGATCTCATCACCCGGCTGTCTGATCCTCTGGAAGACAACAGACATTATGTTGTATGTGGTGTATGGATGGTTGACATGTGTTATATGTGGTGGTATGTATGGTTGAGGCCTTATGTTATATGTGGTGTACATATGGTTGGGGCTTCATGTTATATGTGGTGTATGGATGGTTGGGGCATCATGTTATATGTGGTGTATGGATGGTTGGCGTATCATGTTATATGTGGTGTATGGATGGTTGGGGCATCATGTTATATGTGGTGTATGGATGGTTGGCGTATCATGTTATATGTGGTGTATGGATGGTTGACATCAGACATCTTGTTGTATGTGGTGTATGTATGGTTAGGGCATCATGTTATATGTGGTGTATGGATGGTTGGCGTATCATGTTATATGTGGTGTATGGATGGTTGAGACCTTATGTTATATGTGGTGTACATATGGTTGGGGCTTCATGTTATATGTGGTGTATGGATGGTTGGGGCATCATGTTATATGTGGTGTATGGATGGTTGGCATATCATGTTATATGTGGTGTATGGATGGTTGGGGCATCATGTTATATGTGGTGTATGGATGGTTGGCGTATCATTTTATATGTGGTGTATGGATGGTTGACATCAGACATCTTGTTGTATGTGGTGTATGTATGGTTAGGGCATCATGTTATATGTGGTGTATGGATGGTTGGCGTATCATGTTATATGTGGTGTATGGATGGTTGACATCAGACATCATGTTGTATGTGGTGTATGTATGGTTAGGGCATCATGTTATATGTGGTGTATGAATGGTTGGGGCATCATGTTATATGTGGTGTATGGATGGTTGACATCAGACATTATGTTGTATATGGTGTATGGATGGTTGGCGTATCATGTTATATGTGGTGTATGGATGGTTGACATCAGACATCATGTTGTATGTGGTGTATGTATGGTTGGGGCATCATGTTATATGTGGTGTATGTATGGTTGGGGCATCATGTTATATGTGGTGTATGTATGGTTGGGGCTTCATGTTATATGTGGTGTATGTATGGTTGGGGCATCATGTTATATGTGGTGTATGAATGGTTGGGGCATCATGTTATATGTGGTGTATGTATGGTTGGGGCATCATGTTATATGTGGTGTATGAATTGTTGGGGCATCATGTTATATGTGGTGTATGTATGGTTGGGGCATCATGTTATATGTGTTGTATGTATGGTTGGGGCATCAAGTTATATGTGGTGTATGTATGGTTGGGGCGTCATGTTATATGTGGTGTATGTATAGTTGACAACAGACAGGGGCATCATGTTATATGTGGTGTATGTATGGTTGGGGCATCATGTTATATGTGGTGTATGTATGGTTGGGGCATCATGTTATATGTGGTGTATGTATGGTTGGGGCATCATGTTATATGTGGTGTATGTATGGTTGGGGCATCATGTTATATGTGGTGTATGTATGGTTGACAACAGACAGGGGCGTCATGTTATATGTGGTGGCATGTATTGGTGCATTATGTTATACAGAGTTTCTTCCAGGCATCTCTTCGGGGGGGGGTGAAGCCCCCCCCCCCGAAAATTTTTTACCGCCCCCCCCCCCCCCCGAACGAAATGAAATTTATATCATTTATATAGAAAATATATACTTTTAACAGTGTCCGCCCCCCCCCCCCCCGAAACAAGTTTACCGCCCCCCCGAAGATTTCAAGTGCCCCCCCGGAGAAAAAAGTCTGGAAGAAACACTGATGTTATATGTTGTGGTATGTGTGGTTCACGGGTTGTACGTCTATTACAGGTGTTTTGCAATGAAGACCAACCTACCATTTTTCTGAAACTGACCCGTCTCCTTTCACGTGGCGAGCGCTGGATGTACCAGATAAACATCACAAGCAAGCACGCCAACATGATCAGCAGAGTTTTGAACTTTATCCTCCGTAGCATAAACATGACACTCTGTGAAGTAGGCAAGTATAGGGCTATGTAAAGTAGGCAAGTATGGGGCTGGCTATGTAAAGTAGGGAAGTATGTAAAGTAGGGAAGTATGGAGTTATGTAAAGTAGGGAAGTATGTAAAGTAGGGAAGTATAGGGCTGTGTAAAGTAGGGAAGTATAGGGCTATGTAAAGTAGGCAATTATAGGGCTATGTAAAGTAGGGAAGTATGTAGCTAGGTAAAGTAGGGAAGTATGTAGCTATGTAAAGTAGGCAAGTATAGGGCTATGTAAATTAGGGAAGTATGTGGCTATGTAAAGTAGGGAAGTATGGGGCTATGTAAAGTAGGGAAGTATGTAAAGTAGGGAAGTATGAGGCTATGTAAAGTAGGGAAGTATAGGGCTATGTAAAGTAGGGAAGTATGGGGCTATGTAAAGTAGGGAAGTATGTAGCTATGTAAAGTAGGGAAGTATAGGGCTATGTAAAGTAGGGAAGTATGTAGCTATGTAAAGTAGGGAAGTATGGGGCTATGTAAAGTAGGGAAGTATGGGGCTATGTAAAGTAGGGAAGTATAGGGCTATGTAAAGTAGGGAAGTATGGGGCTGGCTATGTAAAGTAGGGAAGTATGTAAAGTAGGGAAGTATGGAGTTATGTAAAGTAGGGAAGTATGTAAAGTAGGGAAGTATAGGGCTGTGTAAAGTAGGGAAGTATAGGGCTATGTAAAGTAGGCAATTATAGGGCTATGTAAAGTAGGGAAGTATGTAGCTAGGTAAAGTAGGGAAGTATGTAGCTATGTAAAGTAGGCAAGTATAGGGCTATGTAAATTAGGGAAGTATGTGGCTATGTAAAGTAGGGAAGTATGGGGCTATGTAAAGTAGGGAAGTATGTAAAGTAGGGAAGTATGAGGCTATGTAAAGTAGGGAAGTATAGGGCTATGTAAAGTAGGGAAGTATGGGGCTATGTAAAGTAGGGAAGTATGTAGCTATGTAAAGTAGGGAAGTATAGGGCTATGTAAAGTAGGGAAGTATGTAGCTATGTAAAGTAGGGAAGTATGGGGCTATGTAAAGTAGGGAAGTATGGGGCTATGTAAAGTAGGGAAGTATAGGGCTATGTAAAGTAGGCAAGTATAAGGCTATGTAAAGTAGGGAAGTATGTAGCTATGTAAAGTAGGGAAGTATGGGACTATGTAGGGAAGGAAATAAGTATACAAGGCAAAGTGGGCGTCCCTTCGCGTTACCTTATCGGGTTATACCCGACTTAATGACACCACTCATCCAGTGACATCCGACCTAATAACACCACGCATCAAGTGACACCACGCATTCATTGACATCCAATCTAATGACACCATGCATCTAGAGAGACCCGACCTAATGACACCACGCATCCATTGACACCCGACTTAATGACGCCTAGGTTGATATTGTTTTCCCTCAATAACATGGACCCACATAATTAGCCCGATTATGTCGTGGTTTGTGGCATGTTTATGTGGATGTAACATAATGTGATATGAGGTAAAGGTGTGAGGTAAAAACTGAATGTGTTAGATGATATGTTCACGCTTACACCTAAACCGATTAGCCGTACAAGCATGCTCATGCAGTCGCGTTTTCAGCGTTTTGATTATCAACTGTAATCAACTCAGCATCAACTTGAACACTTTGTTTTTATCAAAGTCACCATTTACGTAAAAGGTAACGCTACTGTTAAAATATGCTTCGTGCACCTAATCGATTAGGTCATTTATTGCAACTGTTACTAAATATGGAAGAACAATTGTTTGATGCATGTGTAGATAGCACTTGGTGGAATCGGTGGTGTCTAGAAAAGACGTCGGCCCTTTGTTTTGTATCTCAATCATACTCCGACATCTTCTGTTAGGGGTCATCCATAAATGACGTCACGCTTTTTTTGACGTTTTTTACCTCATCCCTCCCCTCCGTCACACGGTGACACAAAAAGCCAGACCCCCCCCCCCCCCCAAATGACGTCACACCTCAACCTACAACCCCTCTCAAAATTGCAGTTGAATTTTTTTAAAACATCGATATTTTTCCATAATCTTGTTTAAACTATTACAATTTATTAAAACAGTTATCTAAAACTCGAAATAATGTCTAAAATTCGTATTCTAACATTGGTTTTTTATAATGCAAAAATGTGACGTCGCAACATCTGAACCCCCCCCCCCCTCCCCATCATCACACATCGTCACAAAATTACGGACCCCCCCCCCCCTCCCCCTACGAGTGTGACGTCATTTATGGATGACCCCTTAGCTTCTGTCATCTACCGGTTAAAGTCTTGTGCAACAAAAAAAAACATTTTTTTTATTAAACTTTTTAATCTTCAATTGTTTAAAAGTATAAGAAAACTATAAAATAACTAAAATTAGTCAAAGCTTCTATCGTCCACATCACCAATAACCATTAACAATAGATATAGACAGAGGCGTAGCGAGGGGGGGGGGTGCGGACCGCACCTGGTGACACCATTTAGGGGGGTGACACCAAGGCAAAAAATAGTAAAATATATAGATAAAAATTTGAGGGGGGGGGGGGTTGCAAAATCGAAAATTGAAAGTTTGTCCCCGGGAAGAGTCGCTACGCCTCTGGGGGGGTGACACCATTAAGTGCCGCACCGTGTGACACCCGACCTCGCTACGCCAATGGATATAGATCTTCTTAGATATCTAGATCTAGATTATAATCTAGAATCTACATCATTATTTTATGGACCATGTCAATATTTTATTTATAATAAACACATAATAATATATAGATAAAAAAAAACATGTGTACCAGATGCCCTTGGCAACCATTAAGACGCCATTGTTATGAGTCTTAGATTACCCACCCGTTTTTCAACCATGGATTTGATGGCTGAGTCTCAGCTTTGGTGAAGCCCAAGTTCTGCTACAAATGTTGAGTGTTAGATGTGTAGTTTGGTGATTTGGTTCATGTTGACGTGAAACCACCTCCAGACCACAGGATGCTGCGACTGATGTCACTTCCGGTTAGATACGTATTTAGACAGAGCTAGTAGCAGGCTGCTGTTGATGAACATGGTGCGCACCAATAGCACACAGTTTGGAACAATCGAGCGCAGTGGTTCTTAACCTTTTTGAAGGTACCCCACCAGCTTCTTATACGCACACTCGTACTCTTCTTAATAGAAAATATAAAATATGATTTTTTTTTTCAAATTCAAAACATATGACCATATTTTACTGGTGCATAAAATGGACCGTGCATCAATATCATTGTGTTCTATGAACAAAACAAATTAAATATGATTTTCTCACAAAAACATAACAATGATAAGTTGTTGTACAGACACCATTTCAAAAATTCCTGGCTTCACTATGATGAATTCAGCGAGCTTTGTATTCTTGTATTTCCCATCTGTGTGCAGCATAAGGAAGTGTCCTTTTAGTTTGGCCGGTGTTAGACTAGAATTACTCAACTACACATTCCAAATCATGCTGACTCCTATCAAGTTTCGCTTAACGCTGACATGTACACATTCGTCCGACCGCTTGTTTTTTTGCTGACAAGTTGACTACTGGGTTACGATAAAGAAACACTAAGTATGTTCGTAACATCACGTATATCCATCACGTGTACAGTGTTTCTTCCAGACTATTTTCTCCGGGGGGGGGGGGGGACAATGTTAGAAGTATATGTTTTCTATATAAATTCCGTTTCGTTCTTGCAGACGGTAGACTGGAAGAGATGCCTGGAAGAGCTCAGCACGTGTAGTGGGGGTTGAGACGATTCGTGACGTACGTGTGTCGTGACGTCAAGGGTTTTACAACACAGAGATATAACGATAACGATACGTATTGTCTCGCACTGGCACGCTTTGTTACTGTGTCGTGCTGTCGTTGTTACTGTGTCGTGCTGTCGTTGTTACTGTGTCGTGCTGTCGTTGTTACTGTGTCGTGATGTCGTTGTTACTGTGTCATGCTGTCGTTGTTACTGTGTCGTGCTGTCGTTGTTACTGTGTCGTGCTGTCGTCGTTACTGTGTCGTGCTGTCGTTGTTACTGTGTCTTGATGTCGTTTGCTGTCGTTGTTACTGTGTCGTGCTGTCGTTGTTACTGTGTCATGCTGTCGTTGTTACTGTGTCTTGCTGTCGTTTGCTGTCGTTGTTACTGTGTCGTGCTGTCGTTGTTACTGTGTCGTGCTGTCGTTGTTACTGTGTCGTGCTGTCGTTGTTACTGTGTCGTGCTGTCGTTGTTACTGTGTCGTGATGTCGTTGTTACTGTGTCATGCTGTCGTTGTTACTGTGTCGTGCTGTCGTTGTTACTGTGTCGTGCTGTCGTCGTTACTGTGTCGTGCTGTCGTTGTTACTGTGTCTTGATGTCGTTTGCTGTCGTTGTTACTGTGTCGTGCTGTCGTTGTTACTGTGTCATGCTGTCGTTGTTACTGTGTCTTGCTGTCGTTTGCTGTCGTTGTTACTGTGTCGTGCTGTCGTTGTTACTGTGTCATGCTGTCGTTGTTACTGTGTCTTGCTGTCGTTTGCTGTCGTTGTTACTTTGTCGTGCTGTTGTTGTTACTGTGTCACGCTGTCGTTGTTACTGTGTCATGCTGTCGTTGTTACTGTGTCTTGCTGTCATGCTGTCGTGCTGTCGTGTATGAACTGTCATCAGCCGTGGCCGCTAGTTCTATCGTCAGCACTGACCAAATCCGATCGCAAAACATATGAGTCGGGTATCTGACTTGACCTCCGTCGAGCCCTTGAGACTGACCCACTGAACCCTTGAGACTGACCCACTGAACCCCTGAGACTGACCCACTGAACCCCTGAGACTGACCCACTGAACCCCTGAGACCGACCCACTGAACCCCTGAGACTGACTCACTGAACCCCTGAGACTGACCCACTGAAACCATGAGACTGACCCACTGAACCCCTGAGACTGACCCACTGAACCCTTGAGACTGACTCACTGAACCCCTGAGACTGACCCACTGAACCCCTGAGACTGACTCACTGAACCCCTGAGACTGACCCACTGAACCCCTGAGACTGACTCACTGAACCCCTGAGACTGACCCACTGAACCCCTGAGACTGACTCACTGAACCCCTGAGACTAACTCACTGAACCCCTGAGACTGACTCACTGAACCCCTGAGAGTGACCCACTGAACCCCTGAGACTGACCCACTGAACCCCTGAGACTGACTCACTGAACCCCTGAGACTGACCCACTGAACCCCTGAGACTGACCCACTGAACCCCTGAGACTGACTCATTGAACCCCTGAGACTGAACCACTGAACCCCTGAGACTGACTCACTGAACCCCTGAGACTGACTCACTGAACCCCTGGGGTTCGATGGAATAAAATAAAGGTTTTTAAAACAATGTGTCAATATAAAGGCAGTCAGACGAAATGGACGGGGCAGTCGTTTTTAAGTCTGGTACCAACCCAGACCTGACGATTACATTATAAGGAAAACTAGGGGAAAGTAGGTAGGAAAGTAGGCCTACCTCCTCATGAAAAGAGATTTTAAAAAAAAAACTTCAAGTGCGAAGCAGTTTATTTTTACTTAAAAGCAAACTTTATTGTAAATCAAACGAAAAAAATCAGGATTTCAAGGTGTAATTGAAATGCTACACACAGTATTTTTTCTAAAATAACAAAATGGTATGAATTACATTAACGTGCGTCCAAATAGTACCACAGGTGTGTACAATAAATGTAACAATAGTGCGAGTGTTCAATCTTCTATTGTATTTTCATGTATTGGTTTTCAATCACTTTTAAAATTTTCGAACACTTATTTTTAAGGAGACTGGATATATATATATATATATA